TGGTTGCCCCATATTGGCGGAATCATCTAAGTTCATCCCCAAAAGGGTACTCAGATTATAAAGCACCAAGATGCTTTCGCTTAAAATAATCTCTGGGCAACATGCCACTAAATAAGTCATTTCTGTTATGACAGTTGACTTTTGCTTCGACAAAGTATTCAAGCGTTTCTTCTCTGACAAGGGTGAGCTCTTTACTGATTTTCATTGTGTAAACTTACTTGATGCCAATCAGTTGTTTTTTATGCATAATAATGTTTATTATGAGAATTATAATTCTAATGCAACATGTATGTAAGTCTTGAAGTTTGAAAAAAAATTGAATGAATGGTGTCACAACTCTGTTGTGAATAAATCACTAGCTAGAGAGCAAATTTGCAAATTATTTTTCATGAAAGATAATGCAAGCATATGATGCCAACACAAATATTTAAACATACCTCTTATGAGTCAGTTAAACGTTATCTCATTGTGGCACACTTTCGAATTGAACCATGCTTCAGTTAGGACTTTTAAAGGTTGTAACATGGCCTGGTTCATGGTTTTTAGAAAGAAAAAAAGGATTTAAGGCTCAAAATTATTTGGTGCCCACCCCTTCTCCATGATGTTACCCATTCCTACGTTCATTTAACTTAATACGAGCATTCATCTCTCAAGAGGAGTTTGTGATGTTTGAGGAACCACAGGGGTTTCTTGGACACGATAGTCACTAGCTTTTGATTTTGGTGTCTGACCATACGACCTGGTTCCTTGCGGAGGAATTTTATTTGGTAATCCATTTTTTCTTATCGCGCTTTTCGCTTTCCCTAAATTATTCCTGGACAAGTTTTCTTTTGAATTCGACTCTGAAGTCTAGCGGGATGCCCTGACTTTTGCCTAAGCGGATTGATTTTCAAGTTTCGACTTAGCGGGGCTTTTTGTCTCTTTCTTATTCATACTTTCCCTTTTGAACAAGTTGTTGATGTTTGCGTTGTCTTTGATTTGTGGGAAGTGATCGTGATTGTCCGAGTCTTTGGTAGATGATCGTCATCTGATCTCGACTTCGTGATGTACAAGAGATGCCCATTGGGATATCGTCAATTGACGCACATTCCTGATAAACAAAATTTATCCATTGTTGTTTTGACTTTCCTCAACCTTTAGATGGATAACCAATGTTGTATCCTTGGATGCGCACTCTTGATGAGTTTTGAACGCTTGATCAGATCAACTGAACACTACCCGCCCCAGGGTTAAAATGAGGGTTTTTTTAGAACAGAAAAGAAACTCCTACTCCGAAGGCTCAGAGGGGTTAACGAGGGTTTATCTCCCTTATACCTCTGGTGTTTAGGAATTGAAACAAGGCATGTACATCGTCAATAGGATCTTACTCAAAAACGTAACAACCAGAGATTTTTTGCGTTTTTAGATTATCGGCATCCTCCCTCCAATATTTACCTAAGCATAAGACTTGGAAACATGGAAACAATATGCAAGTAAAACATTTAAAGAGTGATAATGAATGGATGAATAAAAATGAAAGGAACGCTTCAAGGCAAGCATACTTATTCCATTAAGATTTTCATTTGAAAATAAATAGGTTTCTACATGCAAGAAATGTTTAAACAAACAAGCAAGAACGCAAATGAAAATGCAGTAAAGAAACCAATGATTGCCATCGTTAAGGAGGCTTGACTCCGTATGCACTTCTGGATTCTAACAAATTTCTACAGTCTTGCTGCTTAAACGGACGAGAGAATTCCCCTTCTAATCTGATGTGAACACAACAGTCTCTAAATTGATCCAGTCTTGGACCTTGTCTCTGGATGACATTTCATCTTCAATCGAATGGTCAGGTGCCTCAGAATAATATGCATAAAAGATTCTTTCGGGAGAACGAATGAATGCTTTACCAAGCGAATTGGTGTGAACTGCATCACCAAGCATCTTACGCCACAAAGAAACAATACAATTCACCTTCTACCACAATAGAAGAGACATCCACCTGGTGAGAAAGAGTCTGGCAGTTGGCCAAATAGGAGTTGGACATTTGGAAGAGACACCAGACAGGTGTTGGGCTTTATACTTCAACCCTTTTACAGTCTTTAATATCAAAATTGGGTGCCCCAGAATAAGGGATACATCTAACATGTGTATCGTAATCAGAAGAGATGTTTATAGGAGGAGGACCTAGAGAAAAGAGCTTTTCCAATTGAACTTCCAACAGGAGAGTAAGTAATTGAATGTAATGAATTGGGCTTGTATCAATATGCTTATTATGCATATCCTTTCTTTGCTTAAAAGCTTTGCCCCATGAATTCACTTGGGAACAAAGATTGGCTGCTTTCGAACAGATCAAGGAATGCAAAGTTGTGGAGAGTGCCCTTGATTGAATAGTCAAATGTCCTGGTGTGGTAACCGCATCTGAATTGGTATCATAATTTGGAAGGGAATTTATAGACAGTACCGGAGTATGGGGTCTAACCCACTAAAGTTCAAACAAGTGTGGAAACCAATGAGAATGAAACACTAATATAAGATCAACTCTTCTTCAGGCGTATTATAACCTTGTTGGTAAAACAAGTTTCTTGAATTCACATAGTAAATGGGAACCATCTGCTGATAAGATGTTCCAAGAACTCAAGATTATGTAGCACTCCATGGTTAAAAGTAATTTCATGACCTGTCTCACCTGAGTCTTCAATCGATTATCTCCCTTCTTAAAGAATTCCCGACTACGGGCCAAAGCTTGCATGTATACCATGATCAACCCCATCAGGATATTCGTATCGGTCAATCCCCCACGGAGTTATCCCATAACTGATCTCTGAACACGCACAGTAAGAAACTAAGTCTGAACCTCTGAACAGAGCACTAGGTCTGAATAAGAATCCCCAATCTTCGAGTACCTATTATGGATGCATGAATGTGCATGGGGTGCATGAATGGATGCCATATCATGTTTTGTCATTTCCAAGGAGTTTACATGCTTTGATTTTGATTTTTCATAGGTAAGGGATGGAAAAGTTCAGCACAAGACTTACAAATATGATTCCCTGGAAATAACAGAACATGTATGTTAAGCATGTGGTTAACCATGCTATGTATGCAAAGACATGTGATCCAAGTTCCATCACTTCTAAATATCACCAGATCAGAGGTCCGGCATAGCTTCCGCACATATAAGAACCAAGTACCATGTAGATCATCAATTGTATGAAATTAAGGCTTCTGGAACACCGGATATTGCTGAGCCTTTTATGAATATGTTGGGAATACCAAGATTGAAGGCCCGAATGAACCTCCAAATAAACAAGTCAGGAACTCAGAAAATAAATCTGAGAACCTCATAGTCACCAATAGAACATACGGTCACCATCTGAACAAATAGTAACCACCTGAACATAGTCACCATCTGTACCTGTGATAATAATTCCATCCCCACTCACGGGTGAAAACTAGGCTAGGGTAAGGTCGGGTAACTCAGAATCAAGGGTACTCTTGAAAAACTATTACTGTATCACCTACGTGAAAACGATAACCCCTCATTTGTACCTCATTTGAGCGTGGACGACATGACGGAAATAGTGAAACCTAAGTTAACTAGACGTCATGTTCCGCTCTATTCCTAATGTTCCTATGGTTGTCACTTGGCCTGGGTATTGGGCCTTTTACTTCATAGTAACATCCCAACCCAATCAACAAAGCAGATCTAGTACAATATTATTATATGGAAAACACTAAAATAAAATGCATACATATGCTCATGTAATCATGTATGAATTAATAAACAGAAAGCATAAAAAATAAACACCCAAAGAAAATACAACAAGAGCTAGGAGCGATTCCGGGATGGACCAGCATTTGGTCGACCTATCCCCAGTGAAGTCGCGAGCTGAAACAACCGGCTGAAAATCATCAAACAATGAAGTCTCCATCGAACGTCTTTTATCCCACATGAAGGGATAGGTAAACATCGAGAAAACCTGAGAAGACAGAAGTCACGGTCTTACGACCGAGAGATCGGGTAAGGGAGTCTTTTACGCGAGGGGAAGGTATTAGCACCCCACACGCCCGTAGTACTCTATGGTATCCACTCTTGTTGTCTATCTTATGGGTGTGTTTAATCTATGCTTATTGCACTACTGAGGAATAATGCGTGCAAAATAAAGGAGAAAATAATGTAGGGAAAATAAAGTTATGCTCGCTTGGGCCCTACCCCAATGCCTACGTATCATTTTTGTAGAATCAGAGTTACCGTAGTTCGGCTCACATGTTTTTGTTTGTTTTGTGTTTTTTATGAATAATGTTAATTCTTCCTTTTGTCACAGCTCGACCTTTGGAGACTCCCGCATTGGCACAAAAGTAAATTAATCATGTCCTTACCTCAAAATGATTTTGAGTTACGCCCTCAAGGTAAGATGCCACATTTGATTGGTTTGTATTTTGTTACCTTGAAAAAGGGTTTAAGTATGATTAGCATGTTTTGTGATTTGCTAAGAAAAAGAAAGTTTTAGTTTTGAATGCATATGCAAAAAGGGGAAGAAAAGAGTCTACGGGAGACTAGCTTATTCCTAATCCTAATGTTATCACACAATGATGGCCCTACATCAAGGATGAAATGGAAATATCTACCTAGTGTTATCATGCATGGTTTGTAACCTAAGGTCTAACTTGCATCCGAAAGGAATAAGCACGTCCTAAGGGAACATGGTATAGAAAGAGAGTAAGCAAACAAGCTCGAAAGAGCACACACATAAAATGGTAAAGAAAAGAAGCGAAATGCTTTAGTCAAGGGGAGCAGATCACCCGAGAAAAACAAGCGGGAGTGAGATGAAAATAGAAAAATGTGATGTCAAAAGGGACTGAACACATAACCAAGATATGTGGTTCGGCCCACACCAAATGTAATCGAGGCCTATTCATATTTTCAGCAAGCATTTTGTTTCAATAATAATAAAAAATAAATTAAAAGGGGGAGAAAATGATACAATGTTGTTTTAGGGAGTTAGTGTTTATTATGGATGATGTTTCAACTTCTCTTCAATACACTTCTTCTTGTTGAAATGCTACGATGTTGTGAATTGCACCGACGAAGACGACTTCCTTTGAACTCAGTGGACTCGAAAGGTTCCACCATAAACATTTCCTATTTTCCATCCTTGATCATGAATCCAGCGTCTTCTTCCATCAATTTCCCTTCAAACATTCTGAATCCAAAATTTATATGTAAACCCTAGATTTACTAGGAATTCAGATTAAAGAAATTGATGCAGGATACGGACCCGAAACCTTGGGAATATTTCTCAGCGTGTTGTAAGCTATCTCCCGATATGAAGAAAAGCGCAAAAAGGTGAAGAATACGACTTACTCAATGGAGACACTCCATCGGTTTTCTCACGGCGACGAACCAAACGGAAAATCGGAGATAACATTCCTAATGCTCTGGTACAATTCTTCTTCAACGTTTTCGTTCCAGGTGATGTGTACTTTCTCCATTTTTCTTCACTTATTCGTTAACCTTTCTTCCATTTCTTCCGATAGTGCTGATGAGAAAACACAATGATAATAACGAAATTCTTCTTCTGTGATGCTTGGCTGTAGATTTCTATTCGTTGATGAGGATACATAAAGATGCAGATTGATGCGGTGAGAACCAATAAATTTCCTAAGAGGAATGATGAGGACTGAAGGCTCAGGGACGATTAACAGAGTGAAGAATCTGTATGATGAAGGTGTTGAAACTGAAGGTGATTGAAGGTATTGATATATTTCTCTCAATTTCTATTGTGAATCATGTAGTGAATAAATGAATCGTGAATAAATAATGATTGTATATATTTGTGAATCTGCAGAGATGATGATATGAAGTTCTGTTAGAAGGTTGTTGAAAAAAACGGTAAGCTCTGTTCTCTTTTGCTGTTATCTATAAGTTTGAATTCAGTTATCTGTTAGGATGAGCTGGAGGAAGTTATTCTGTTTTAGAAGTTTTAATTTCTGTTATATCTGTTAGAAACAATTAGGAGGTTAGGAGTTGTTAGAAAGTTAGTTTGAGTTGGTTCAAAATTTAGTTAGTAGTAGTTAGTTAGAATGATGGAAACTGTTAGTGAATTAGTTGAAAATTAAAATTGCTACTGTTAGTTTAAGATGGTTGTTAGTGAACTGATGGTTTTGTTAGTCACTAACTGGTTTTTGGATTGTATATTAATTAATCTTTTTGTTTTGGTTCACTACTTGCGGTGGTCCGTTATGCTTGAGGAATATTGTTTATTTGTTTTGAAAATGAAAGAGTGTAGGTTGCCTGTTCTGATTTCAGTTCTCAGATTAAATGGTACAGGGTATGTTGAACTGACGTAAATGCTTTAGACTGAGCAAGTAGCTTGAATGCAGGGCAGTTTGGTCATAGCTTCGTGATGCTTAATTGTTTTTGTTTATGACTGTTTTTGCAGGGCAATAACAGGGTTAAAGACATGGTTTCCGTTTGGTTCGTGTTGAAATGCTTGGAGGAAATGTGAAGGCACATGGCAATGATGAATCAATGAAGATCAAAGTAAAGTGATATGTTTGAAGATTTACTCGAAGATAGTCCATGTTATTCGGATTAGAAACAATAGGCTCCCATGTATTTTGTATAATTTCCTTTGTATGTGTAATTGGATCTTTTGTTGAATGAGACACAACTTGTAATCCCCCTTTGAATCTTTGTAATGAACCATGCTCCTCTCAAATAAATTTCATCCTTTTTTCCTCTAATTTACAATCCATTTTTAAATCCATGTCTTTTTCTTTTTAACGCAAACTTGAATGGATCATAAAATAAGATATAGAGAAAACTTGAGGATGACCTTGGTCCAAACAATGACCCTTTATGTAATCTCCTTATAGTGTAATATGCTTGAATGATTGGGTTTTGATTGAATTGAATGTGTTTATTTTGAAAACGTTGAAACTTGAGTGTTGAACATGTCTTGGAAGCCTTGAACAAATCTTGTATGCTTTTGATGCACTTGCACTTTGAACCATATAGGTACATCCTCCAAACTCGTATGTTTGAGACAACTTTGATCCATTTATTAGTTTTAACACAAAATTAAACTCATGACTTTAGGTAGCCCTTTGAATGAACATTTCCAAATAATGAATCCAAATCAACCTTTACTTCTAAAAAAACGGCAATTTCAAACCTTACATCCACATTAACTTGCATGACACCTCACAAGCAACAAAATGAACCTGTAAGTTCATCTTTTATCACATGAAGTATATTTCGCAATCCACCACATAATGTCCTGATCTTAAAACAAAATCAATGATTTGAATCCTTGAATGAGAAAATGATGGAAATAACTAACCCTAATGCACTTGGTCTTAAAGTATCTTGATAAATAGGATCTTGTAGCTCGATGAGGAGAAGTTCACAATAATCAAGAATCCAAACCCTAGCTCCACCAACCAGAGTCAATGAAAGACCTTGATTCAAGCCCGGATAAAGTGAAAGCCTTAAAGCATAGATAAACCCTAATTTCCAAGACTGATGATCTCATGTTAAGTTTATTGATTAATGATGCGTGATGCGTTAAATGACCCAATGGACGGTATGCTGATGAAATGAGAAGTGCAGATGATCCTAGTTAAAGGGTAGGACAAATTTGGGGTATTAAACCTAGAACTGTGAAGTATTATATTTCTGAGACTTAGGATTATAAGCCATGAGACCTTGGAACTTTGTAATCTTTGGTTGATATTTTTGTGAAGATCTTCTGTGTGCAGGTTATTCTGATTTTCATGCTTTGTCCGTGATTGAGAATTCCTCTATATATAGTTGTTACTCTAGCTAATTTTTATCAATGAAGACTTTGCTTGGTTTTTAATTCATCTACAACTTGATATTTCTCAGAGGTTTAGTATTTTTGTTTGTTTGGTTTTAATCTAAAGGATGGGAATTCTATATTGACTTCTTTATGTCAAGTGTTGGCTTCTTGTTGGTTAGATCCTTATTTTCCTTAGCTTTTACTTTGTGTACTTAGAATAGTTCCTTCATCTCCTCCTATCTTCTTTAATTTCAAAAATCTTCTCCCTCCTTTTCAAAACTCTTCTTTTTTTCTAACTTGAACCGCTTTCATAATAAACTTGGACTTAGGTCCATGCATTTTCAAAATCTTTTCTTAATCAAACCTTAACCGATTTAATCATACTTTGACATCTTTTTTTTTAGACTAAAAGTTATTAACCGCATTCAAACCATTTTACCACTTTGACTTTTTATTTTAAAACTTTTCTCAAAAGATTAGACTCTTGTTGATTCTTGTAGTGACGCAAGCTACTATACTTCTATGAGATATAGCGAAGAGAGCTACTTTCCACTTGGGTGTTGAGTGATGGATTTTAAATTCAAGTTATATCCTCCACTTTGAGATGACGCAAATGCTCCTTCCTCACAATTATAGATAGTAAGTATGTTTTCCACTCATATATGACAATGATGTCTCTTCTCTTAAAATTAACCAACACACATGTGTTTTAAATTTTTTGAGGTGAACTACGAGTACCCTGATCCCCAATTGCACAAAAGATGGTATGTAGGCACTAAAGGTTCGCAACCGCGGTGGATGCAAAAATTGTAAAAAATACTTCTTTTCTCATCTCCACCATCTTATTTGCTATACACCTTTTATAGTCAAAATACATAAATTTTCAAAGAGATTCCTGCGGAGTACCGTAGATGTTTAGGGTGTTAATACCTTCCCTTTTCATAACCATTCCTCGTACCTAGATTCTCTCATTCTTTTTTGAGTTTATTCGCTATTTTCCCATTTCTTTTGGCAACAATAAAGCGCAGTGACAATTTTTATTTGATTTGTACGAGTTAAGTCAATCCAATGGCTTAGTCTCATCATTTCTACCGCTACAGATTTGAACAAAGGAAGAAGAAAATATTTTCTGCAGAGTTTCTCTCTGTTCACAAACTGTGATTTCTTATGAAACTGCAAGTGATTACAAAATAGGGGTTACTCCCTCTATTTATAGTTTTAGGTTAGTCTACTCCCTAATCTAAAACCTAAAACACAAAAGGCCAAAATATTTATTTTGGTCTAAGTCGAAATCTTTTGTCAAACAACCTGCTTTGACAATTCGACAACTAACAATTCAACACACACTACATGTTTTGACACATCCTTGTCTATGTCGAACACTATCTATTTTAACACAAATAATTACAATCTCAACAACTCTATCGTACATTATTATTAAAGTCATATCTTATTCTAAAAAGTTTAATTATTTTATATTGTTATTTTAAAAAGTTTTATGCATCATAATCATTTAATTTTTATATATTAGATGTTCAAATAAAAGTTAAATACTTTAAAGAAAATTGAACTATTATTATAAAGTTATATTAAAAACAAAATATAATATGATATTTTTGATATAATAATATTTTTTTTTCTTGTTAAAAAAGTTTTGACGAATGCCAAAAAGGTACACAAATGATGGTGTATTATTTTCTGAAGCTAATAAAAGATGGTGGATTGGTGAAACTTGTCCACTACACGTTGATACTTGTTAAGCAATTGTCGTAGGGCCCAACTGTCTCAATAATTTTTAAAAGGGTTAAATAAATTATTGGCCTCTCTAAATATTTTAAATTTTGTTTTTAGATTTTTTTTAAAAAAAAATTTAAAAAAATTTTTTTATAAAAAATTAAATTTTAACTTTTGATCTCTCTTAACAAAATCGTAATTAAAATAATCTCTAATTTCGTTGCTAAATAAAAACTGTAATTAAAACTATCTTTAAAATTGTCATTAAAACTATCGTTAAATTGTAAAAACTGTCTTAAATTATAAGAGAGATCAAAAGTTAAAATTTAATTTTTTTAAAATATCATTTTTAAGAAAAAAATTTAAAAAACTAAAAACGAAATTTAAAATATTTATAGGAATAAAAAACTTATTTAATTTTTTTTAAAATTGTGAACACAATGACACCTTTAACTTTAAATTTAAATTTAGTCGAGTATATATTCATCATTCAACCATTCTATATAACATATATTAGTTTATTATTTAAATAAATTAAATTTTAAATTAAGTAAGTCTAGTAAATATTAATTTTCGAAAATAAAGAAAAACTAAAGATTTTAAAAAAATTTCCCTTTTAAAATATCAACTAAGTATAGATGAATCGTTCTAATATTACCAAAACATGCGACTTTTTCCCGATGCTCCATTTTAGAAGTAGAAAAAATACTTACGTGTTTCTATGATGTTGAAATACAAAAATTTATGATGTAGTTTGGATAAGTTTAATGTAAAAAATCATTCGATTGAAAATTCAAATTGTACGTTGTTTTACCGTCTACTCATGACATGTTTCTCTTACCAAAGATGGTCACAATGGCTTAGAATGAGCTGTGCAAGCCAACATCTTAACGTGGGCTAGGACTGAGGTCTCTTGTAGTGTTTAATGAAGCCTCTAACATGAAATTTTGTTGGGATATGTTGAACTCAAAGGAAGAGTGAGTCTTAGCTTCTCAAAGGTAGAGCTATCAAGAATGACATCTATATATATATATATATATATATATATATATATATATATATATATATATATATATATATATATATATATATATATATATATATATATATATATATATATATATATATATATATATATATATATATATATATATATATATATATATATCCTCTTCAATTTAAGTGGCACCAAGCATGATTATAGAAATATTATTTTTAATTGTTGAGTGTAAGTCTGAGTGGGTAAAAATCTCACATTGCTTATGAATGAGTAAAATGTTGGATTTATAAGAGAGATAACATATTTACCTAACACTTTAAGATATTGAGTTGAGATGCGGCGTCTTCCTCTCTTGTGATCCTGAAATATTGGTCTCATTAGTGCTCCTAACTCTCTCGGACTCCCCAACAAGTGGTGTCAGAGCCTTGATTTGGTAGGGTATAAATTTTAGTATGCTCTATGGTTGCAATTTTGTCTGATCTTCCACATTAGAAAAAAAATTTATATTATTTGTTGGTTGAGAAATGTTTGGTTTGCTGCAGAAAAGGTTTTGGTTGCAATGTCAAAATTTTCAAGTGAAGTGAAGATTGACTTAGAGAAATTTGATGGAAGAATCAATTTTGGCTTGTGAAAAATTCAAGTTAAAGATGTTTTGATACAATTAGGATTAAACAAGGCGTTGAAAGGAAACATTTCCAACATGAACAACGAGAAGTGGGAGGAACTAGATTTGAGAGCTTCAAGTATAATTCGCATGTCTTTGGCTAAGAATAATCTTGCGAAAGTTCTTGGTACGTCGTCAACCAAAGATA